TCTCTCTCTCTCTCTCTCTCTCTCTCTCTCTCTTTATATATATATATATATATATATATATATATATATATATATATATAAGAAACCAAAGCTTGGAGGCGAGAGAAGCAAAGACTCTCATCGTTTTTGCTTTCACCAACCAAAACCTTCTTTCACATAACACAAAAGGCATTATTTTGGAGTCGATGGCGTCAAAGTTGCAGCAACTACAATCCAAGGCATGCCAAGCTTCACAATTTGTGGCAAAGCATGGCACTGGTTAGTACAAACAGATGTTGGAACAGAACAAGCAGTACATCCAGGAACCACCCACTGTGCATAAATGCAACATGTTGCCCAAGCAGTTGCTTTACACTCGTCTTGCTAGCATTCCTGGTCGGTGTGAGTCATTTTGGAAGGAAGTTGATTACGCGAAGCATGTGTGGAAGAACAGACAGGAACTGAAGGTTAAGGATGCTGGCATTGCTGCTTTGTTTGGGCCAAAGTGCTTTGCATGGTATTGTGCTGGTGAGATTGTGGGAAGGGGATTCACATTCACTGGTTACTATCCCTGAAGACAAGTCACAGGGGTAAAAAAAATGTTCGGTTTCAAATTCAGTGTTGTTTTCCATTCTCGTCGCTCTCTTTTTTACCATCTTTTAGAGTAAACTTTGTGCAATATTGTTTACATCAGCATATTACTATAAATTTGAATAGTAAAATTCAAATTCATGTCACTATTTTTTCTATTATGTTACTGTTCATGTTACTATTATTTTGAGTATGTTACTATTTTTGTTGAGCATGTTACTACTATTAATTTCCTAAATATTAATATTCAATGTTAGTATTTGTTTTTTTTTTTTGAATATTACTTTTTTTTGTATTTGAATGATACTATTTTTTGCGTTTGAATTTGAGAGAAATAATTATTGTTAAGTATGGTAAAATTGACAAAAAACGGGTTTCATAACAAATAAGTTTCCTTGACAGACTTAAATTCAAACAAGTCCATATAGGAGGACTGACCTCCAAATTTCCCTATAATGTTTTACGAGTAACATAGCAGATTTAGGTACGAGCAATTACTAGTTAACTTATATAGCAATACCTAGTTCTACACAAAGGTCCACATTGATGAAAGCCCAAAGACACCTACCCCAAAATACATATGTGAATGGCTAACGGGCTGTTTAATCACACCACTTAAGCTTAAAACTGAATACTTTAAGCACTCAATAAATTAAATTCATTTGATAACCTAATACTCATACAACTTAATATTTAAGCACTTCTTAAAAATAGGCTTAAATTTTAAGTGATAAGTCACATTCTTATCACTTAATGCTGAAAATGTTAGTTACTAAGGATTTTATTAATTTTTCATAATGGACAAATATACCTTCACCACCATTGTGTTATCACCACCACCAACGCTATCACCACCATCACCACTACCACTACCACTACCACCACCACTACCACCATTGTGCAACTGCTACCACCACCACTAATGTCACCGCTACCACCACCACCATTGTGCCACCGCCACCGCCACCAACACTACCAGTACCACTATCATTGCCACCACTATCAATACTACCACCAATGCCACCACCACCACCACCACCACCACGACTATCGCTACTGCCACCCCTACCATTGTGCTACTGTCACCACCACCACTACTATTGTCACCACCACCACCATTGCTGCCACCACCTACACCCACAACACCACTACCACCATCACCATTGCGTTGTCCTCATCACCACTACCATTATGTCATCGCCACCACCACCACCACCATCATCGCCACCACCGCCACTACAATTGTGTTGTTGCCGCCACCACCATAGTATTGCCGACACCACCACCATCGCTATCACTACCACTACTATTGTGTCACCACCACCATCATCGTCGCCACCACCTCTATCACCACCATTGTGATGGTGGTGATAAGAATAAGACAATTACGAAGAGATGGTTAAATTAAAGGGTAAAAGTAGAATAATAATAATTTTTAAATTTTAGTTACTTATATTTGTCAAACAATTTGATTAAATTTAATATTTAAATTTCAGTTGATACGAAACAGTCTGTGAATTAAAAAATTCAGAATTCAGTATTTAAAATTCATCATTCAATTTTTAGTATTCAGCTATCAATTTTATCAAACACTACCTAAGGTTGGACTAAAAAATCGACCGGAGTTAAGACTCGGGTCAAGTCAACTCGGATCCTAGACCAATATGTGATGGCATTCTTCTTGGTTCTTGCCTGAGCCAATTGTTTTTTTTTTAATTCCTATTTCTTTCTATTTTATATTTGAAAATTTCTAAACAAACATATGAAAATAATTTAAATTTTAATAATATTTTTCACTTTTTAGAGTTTTTGACCAATATACTCCATGCCATTGTTGACACACAAAGAAATCCGCACCATTATAACTAGTAAACGTATGTGCAAATTATACTTCGACGCTCTCAACTATGACCCTTTTTTATATTATCCCTTCAACTATTATATTTTTTTATTGTACCCTCAATTATGTGATTAGTTTTATATTGCCCTAATTATTAACACCTTTTTTTTATATTGCACGTTAACATTTTTTGTCTAAAAAGATAATAGACATTTTGTAACTGGGACAATATGAAATAATTTGAGTAGTTGAGGGAGTAATGCAAAAAAGAGTGTGGCCTATCTTGGGTCATACTCGGGTTGCATTGGGTGGGTTTGAACTAACAATGGACAACGTAAGGGAGATTTGTATGTACATCCAACATCTCTTTCCTGACACAAATTCACTATTTAGAAGGCTTATATGTACATCCAACACCTCTTTTGTCTTTCCTCACATAAAAAAGGGCCAAACTAAAGAAACGGTGGAAGGTGAAGTATATATATGGGTAAATTATATTTGGATCCCTCAATCATGATCTTGTTTTCATTTTGCCCCTTATGTGGGGTGTCTATTATCTCATTGGGTCAAATTAAAGATAATTGTGGTCATTAAACACTAAATATGGAAGGATTTTTTTCGAAGATCAACGAAGGCCAGTGCTCCAACGCCCCTTGATTTTTAAAAATTGGTATAGTGGCCCGTTTGTTTTTCTTTTCAATAAGAATAACACCATTAGATGATAATTGCGGACAAGTCCTCTTTTCAAGACTTAAAATGAGTTAAGTTCATCACTTAAACATATTTGAAAATTAGTTCTATTATTAACTTTTGAATTAATATCACTTTTGATCTTTAAAGTATATATCTTTTGTTAATTTAGTCATCAATGTATCAATTTTATCAATTTAATCCTTAAAATATTTAATTTATATCATTTTGATCTCCATATAGATGGATCGTTAATTTTTTGATAAAATGATCATCTGTTGGCACATAATATCGTCCAAAAAAAGGACACGTGGCCGTTTCAATCAAAATGCTTTTAACGACTAAAAATTATATTACTCTCGTTTGCTGTCTCTTTCAGCAACGGAGGTTGCCCCCAATCGAACCACAATACTTGCGTGTATAGTCATTTTCATGGTCATCACAACTATACTTCTATTCTCAATGTCAAAGTCAACAATGTCTCCTGGGAAAGAAGGCAAAAGCCGCAAAACCCAAAAAGAAGAGGAAGACCGAGGTGATGAACCAATAATGGAGTGCTTCGTGAGGCTCTTCTTCGGTCATCCACATTCCACCATTGCCTAATATGAACGAGATCTTTTATATTTAAAAAAATATTTTACAATTTTTATGTAAATTTTATTTATTTTTAGATTAAAATTTCTTATTAAGTTATTGTATTAAATTTTGCTAACATATCTTTTTGGAATAATATAGAATGAATAATTGACTTTTTATTTCTTAAACATTATCCACCTGACGAAGGATTTTATTAATTTAAATTTTAAAACGTTACTATTTATGATGATGCACAAAAATAGTTTTGCACACCACCTGTCAAGTGTAGGTAATAAATGCAGTGAAATCAATGAAAAAATTAAAAAAGACACGATTTATAGTGGTTCGGTCAATTCGACCTACGTCCACTCTTCAATGGCTTCAGTTGCCAGGTATTTTATTGATTCAAATGTATGGAGAATAGAGATACAAGCTTTGAGAGAGAGAATGAAGAATCAAAAAAATAGTAATCTCCGGTAATCGGTTCGTCATCTGTAAGTCTTGGTGGGGCGTGACATTCATCTCCCTCTTCTATCAGATTGGAGCTATTTTATAGCAGCTAAGAGATCATTCTTGTGGAGATAAAAGATTATTCTTGGTGGAGATCACGACTTATTCTCAAGGCTTCTTTATCGCAGCTAAGAGATTATTCTTGGTGGAGATCACGACTTATCCTCAAGGCTTCTTTATCGCAGCTAAGAGATTATTCTTGG